GGGGAGGCTGCGCTGCTGCTGGCCAAGCAGCTGATTAGTGGTGAGGATGCTGCACGGGGAGGCAAGGGGCCAGGCTGCCTTTCTGTGCTGGCAGGGCAGGCTGTGTTGGGGAACTGCACCTTTATCCTCAGAAATGTAGCCCCAACAGCTGGGCTTCAGAAGCAAAGGAGCCACCAGGCTCCAAAATCTGCAGGCAATAGTTAAAGAATCAAATGCTATCAAAGCCGTAGGGAGAAAGGAGGAAACACAGCTTTGATCAACCACAGAAAAACAAGAATAGCTCTGACCGAGCAGAAGTGACAGTGAAATCAGAGATGTGAGCACAAAGGATGTTGTCATAAGCAATAAAAACCCCAAGTTGTGGTTTAGTAAGAGCTGACCGATGTCTTAGGTGGCAAAGCGTGACTGAAAGGAAGTGTTGAGCTGTGAGTCATTCACCTTAAAGGGTTTTATCCTTGGATAGAAGTCAAAGAGACAGCTCAGGGAGAAAAGAGAAGTGCAGGAAAGAACAGGAGCAACAGCAAAGAACTGGGCCTCCTCACAGAGCAGAGGCCAAGCAAAGGGCAAGGCTGTTATCTGCTGGCTATGCTCCCTTACAGCTATTTCTGGCTGGGCACATAATACTGTGTGTTTTACAACACACAGTATTATGTTCCTCAGGCTCGTGCCTAGAGGAACTTTGTCCACAGTGCAAACAAGAACTAGCGCAAGAGTAGGAGCAAGAGTAGAAAGAGGGAAGTGGTACAGAAAGCAAGTCATATCACTAGTGGGGGTGGAGGGTGGGGGGTGTTTATACAAACAAACAAACGTCAAGCTTTTTCTTCTGTAGTCCTTTTACCATTACTTCACTACCAACACAGCGCTCCACAGGCAGCTGGGCTGGAGGAGCAATACAGCAATTAACCAGCTGATGTGGCTTGGTCTTATGAAGAAAGATGAAAAGTGAGAAACTAATACAGAAAATTACAGGTCAAATAAAGGCAACTGTGATAAGGATCAATGCATTTCCAGGGGGTGAAAGCACAAAGAAGGGTGAGGAATTATTTAAGGTGTTTCAAAAATGGGATGGAGAAAATAATGGGGTTGTTAGAGGGATGTAGAAGGGAAAGGTGACAGGATGAAAGGCTTTAGAGCATCATGCAAATGTAAACACAGCCTGACTTAGGAGTTAGTTCTAGATTACAGGGAAGCATCAGGAGTGATGGGAAGAAGAAAATGAATGTGCAGGATCTGATGTTGCTCCAAGGACAGGACTAGAAAATGCATAATTGAAGACATGGTAAACACAAGGGGTAAACAGAAGACTAAAGAGGATGTTGTTTGTGGTAACACAGTAACATTTGGGGGGGGGGAGATACAAAGGAAATTTCCAATGGCCCCAGTAGAAATCAAAACATAGATTTATCACCAGAGGATTGAAACAAAGAGAGAACACACCCAAAGCACGTTTCCATGTCCCCAACTCAGCTTCAGTGTGCAAATCAGCTTTACTGATTATTAACCAAGTTTTACACTGAAGCAGGTGACAACAGAACCTGACTCACATGGTGGGCAAGGCAGGAGCTGAAGTGATCAAAAGCACTGAAAGATGTGCTGAGATAAGGTAAGAAGAGAACTAACTACATGGTAAAATCCCAAAGATTCTATGGTTCTATACAGTCCTATAGTTTGTATAGCTTAATATAGTTTGCATAGTTTTGGTTTTTTTTGTATAGTTTAATTTTCTGACTTCTTAGGTCCAGTTTTAAGTAATGCTTCCATATTGTCATTATCCCCCAACATGCCCCCACTCATTTCCTTGCATTCCCCATAGCAGGTGGGAGAGCACAGTGAAAAAATATGTCCCATGAACACTTATGTAGGCAGTATTTTTTACATCGCAGTGGAACAGATACAGCTTTGGGGAGGGAAGGGTCTGAAATAATTAAAATAAGCAAAACCTTGAGATAACGGTAAGTCAAAACTGTAACTCTGAAGCTGGACAATTAACCCCATGAAAGGAGAATGGGTGAAATATCTACTGTCATTGCCTGACCATTGAAACTAAACTTTACATAAAGTAGCCATGGGAACTTTACAGTACAAGAAAATATAACTTGTTTTTTTTTTTTACAAAAGAAACAAGTACATGTTCTTTACTTTTGAGTATGTCCTGGGTTCAGCTGTAAGTTATTTTTCCTAGTAGCTGGTGCAGTGCTGTGTTTTGGCTTTAGTTTGAGAACAACGCTGATAACACACCAATGGTTTCAGTTGTTGCTAAGTAGCACTTATCCTGATCAAGGACTTTTCAGTCTCTCATGCCCTGCCAGGGACGGAGGGGCACAAGAAGCCTAGAGGGAGCAGAGACAGGACACTTGATCCAAACTAGCCAGAGGAATATTCCATACGTTTTTCTGATTCTTCTGCCCAGACTGGGGGAAGGAAGGTGGGGAGCAAATGAGTGAGCGGCTGTGTGGTGCTGAGTTACCAGCTGGGCTTAAACCACAAGAGAGTAATGACAAATATGCCCAGTATTAATGCTTTATACTAAAGTACATCTGTGTCTGTTTGCCTCCTGACATCTTTAAAAGAGAGAAAGATTGTTAAATGAGAAAGCATCAGTACTGTAAACAAAAAGGAAAGTTATGTCTGTAGGGCTTAGAAATATGAAAATAGAGGATGAATGCCATCATGCAGATACATGATGCATGTTTGTACAGAGAAAGCTTGGAGAAAGAACACAATATCCCTGTATTTATTCATAGTAATGTATTACAGCACAATGTTGAGGGCACATAATAAGCTGTCAAATGAAATAACTTTCATATAATATTAGTTACAGGAAGCATTTTGGAAGATTGAAGCACAGAAGTAATCACATTTTCAACATTACTCTAAAAGTTATTTCAGCATATTCATTCTGGAAGAAAGAAACTTGAACGAAAGATGATTTTTGGTTCTCCCACCTTGAAATGTGCAATTTTTCCATATAAGACATTGGAAAAAAATAAAAATCAAGTGAGCAGGCTGGATTTTTCACTTCTCTGCTATCTGTACAGTTCTGCATGTGAAGAACCTGATGTGTATTTATAGTTCTACTGAACTCAAGTGTGGGATGATCCACATGCTGGAGCATCAGCAGAAAACTGGAGTAGCACAAGAAATTTAACTAGGTACAGTACGAAACAGCAGGTACAAAAGCAGCTTAAGAAAAACAAAATGTAGAGCATGACTGGGAAGTCATTTGTTTTATTCCTGTCCACGTATTGATGATCTGAGTACAAATATTTCAAATTATTGCTGTTGTTTTCATTGCAATGATTATTTGTGCTTGTTCCAGTAACTTACAACAGAATCAAATTATGAGAAAAATAAACCAGATCAAAACCAATTACATTAGAAATGCAATGGATAATTTATGGAACATTAAAAACATAAGCAACCCTTTTAACTATCCAATAAATCAACAACTGCAGAATTATTTTAGATTTTATCAAAAAATCCATGAAACTTAATAAATCTCATTTTACACTCCAATAGGACACACAAATCAGTTCAGTTTTATCTTGCAGCTGCTTAACAAGTAACCAAGTCAGTTTTCCAGCAGCTGATGGGGCATTGGCCCAGCTGCATGTCAGAAGACATGCAGTCCCCAAGGTGCAATTCCCACAAACCTACTTCATAGCTCCTTCGATGGTTTGCTTTGGAGAGGTTTAAATAAACCCAACTGCTCTGCTCAGCGATGCACTCCTGCAGCGGGACAGGGTCGGCTGCTGAGGGCTGCCAGGCTCACAGCCTTCCAACCCCAAACTGAACCCAGGCAGCACGGGCCTCAGCAGACTGTGCCTGGGGAACCAAACACACACACACACACACACACGATGAGATGCAGACAGCACAGGTCCTGGCCATCTCCCAGTTATTTCACTCTATTTACTTCTAAACTATTAGCAAGTAGGTGGTGTCTTCAGCAACCTTTCAATATTTGATTGATACCATCCTGCTCGCAAAAATGATAATCGTAATCTGGCAGTTCATTTTCAGGGCAAGATTCCCTCAAAGGGTGGCAGAATTTAGTCCAGAGCACTTAAAGCAGGGAACAGCATCTGAGCCCTGGTAGTGAACCTTGGTGCATCTCCACACATGTCCCAGATCATTAGAGATCCCCAATCTTCAACATTACAGGTCTGACCTAAGACAGATAAAAACCTAAGCAGGTTCTGCTAAGCATGAGGTATCGTCCCAGCCCTCCAGCTTTTGCTAGGCTATCTCTGCCAAGACCATGGTCCTTGACCGTGAGTCCATGGACTCCAGAGCTTCTCAGCATACTCTAATGCATGGGGCCTTTTACACCACCTATTAAAGAACTCACTCTGACCATCTGATGAGTGGTCATGGCAAATCCCATGAGAAAGACTAGCCTGTAGTACAGCTATGGTCTGCTGAATGGCTGCCTCCCAACTCAAGCCTGTGCTTGTGCTCAGCCCATCCCCTAGAGCTGTAGCAAGACATTGGGAAGGAGACAGTAAGGTGCCCCTTGGAAAATATGCTGCTCGGGAGCGCTCTCCCCTGGCCTGGGGCCTGCACCAGCTGTCTTCACCCCTATGCACAGCAGGTTTGGACAATGCTTGGAGGTCGTCCCCAAGGGCTGTGGCCCACGCACACAGATGTTTCACCTCTTCCTCATGCCCTTCCACAGGGCTTCCTTTACCCAAACACAACCCATCTTTCAAAAAAGCAGGCTTTAACTTCATTGGGGGTGGGGACATCCTTTTGTCCCGCATTTGTACAGCCTCTGTGACAGTGGGGTGCTGGCGCCGTGCTCCGGTGCTTTACCGGGATGCAGATAGGTGCCCGAGGCTCAACCACCCACCTCTTCCACCATGCCCTTGTGCTGCACAGAGTCACGGCACACCTGAGCTCCCCAGGCGATGCTGAGCAAGCGGGACCCCCTCCGCTCCAGGGAGGCGGCTCCCGGAAGCGCGGGCCAGCCAGCAGCCGGTGCCCCGGTGCGCCTCGGTACGCCACCGGTACGCTCCGGCCTCCCCGCTTCGCTCTGCCGCCGCAGTTCCGCCGGAGAAGGCGCCCGACGGCGAGAGCGGCAGCGGGGCAGCAGGAAGTGAGGGGCCGCTGCGCTCCGCTCGCCGTGTTATGCGAGAGCGCTCCCGCGGCAGGGGCCGACGAGAGGCGGGCGGCAGCTGCAGGAGCGCGGGCGGGGCGGCGGCTCCCCGGAGAGAGCGGCGGGGGGTCCCGGCGGCGGGCGGCGGGCGCAGGCTGGCGATGGAGGAAGGTGAGCGGAGCGGCGGCAGCGTGTCACCCTCATCCCTCTCCGCCGCGCCCGGCGGGGCCTTGGTGAGGGCACCTCAGGCCGGGAGCTGGGAGTCGGGGGGGGGGGTTGGGGGAGCTCTGTGTGGCCCCAGCCGGTGCCTCGCTGTGATGGGGAACGGGCTCGGGCCGCTTCCCCCGGCGCGGTTCCTGGGAGGCTTGTGTCAGGTACGTGCCAGGGTAGCAGTGCACCTACGGAGGTGGAACACCCGCCTGCGGGACACGGAGTCGGCCTCCCCCGGCAGTGCTGGTCCCGCCGCCGCAGCTGCTGATGGCAGCGCCTGTCAGGCCGAAGCGATCCCTCCGGCGGCCCCTTGTCCCCGCTCCGGGCAGCCCGTCGTGTGCAGCACTGACCGGGGGAAAGCTGAGGTGGGGAGCCCAGAAATTCGGGGTCTGTTTCTGTTCCCTACCCCGGCACTGCCTCTGTGCAGAGTACCCGGGGCAGCATCCTTCTGCGTGCTCCGTGGATGCCTCTCTCGTTTCTCTTTAGCCCTCTACACTACACTTTTTCTCCGTGTCTCTGTTGTGCTCACCCCCTTTGTGGGCAGCAGCAGATGACACTTAGTTTTTTTTTCTTGGGGAAATCAGCAGAAACAGGACTCTAAGTAGGCACCCAGAAAAATGCAAGAGTGAAAAAGTGCATGCGATGCTGTCCCATGGCTTACTGCAGCCTCCCAGCTGTTTTCAGTGGCGGTACTTTCTGAGCTGGACATGGTTTCTGTGTATTTAGTAGTCTTTGGTTGGTTGTTTCCCACATCTTCTCTTGAGTCTGTGTAAACTTCTCGTTTACATTCTTTGGGTAGGAGTGGTCTACATGAAGGTGATGTGTGATGAACTGGTTCCTTTTACCCTGACTCACTGGGTTGGTTTGATAACTTCTTTCTTGTTCCAGTATTAGAAAAGAAGGTGAGTCACTGTGCACTGTACTAGCTTGTAGACCTCTGTCATGTTTCTGTTGACCATCCTCTTTTCCAGACTTAGGCATCCTCAGCTTGCTTCCTTGTTCCTTGTATGGGAGCCATTGCACACCTCTGATCATTCTCATGGCCTTTCTCCAAGTGTTTCCCAGCACTATCTTATCCTTCTCTAGACGAGAGGACAAGAATTGCAGACAGTGCTCAATTTGCAGGTGAAAAATGGATTAATATAGTGGCACACAGGAGCAATGAGTTATGCTTTTCTGCAATAGATACACAAAAGTAAGTGGAATGCATGCTGTCTGAACAAGATTTGAGAAAGATGTACTGGGAGTTTACAGGGAAATAGAAAGCAATCTTGGATGAAAAAGTGCATGCTGGATAGAGAGGTACTAGAAGCTGTGTCATCAGTTCAAAATCCCAGATTATTTTTGTCACCTTGTTTGACTTTCATTTCACCCCTTTTAAAGGATTCATAAAAGTGGGAACAGCCTTTTTGTTGTGTGAGGCAGCTGGGAATGAAACAAAAGTAACATACTTGGATCTTTCTTTGTTACTGCTCTGAGTGGGGGATCTATTGAGCAGTCTGCAAAACCGAGGTGAAGATCATTTGATGAATTCGTGTAGTTGTTTCAGAATTAGAATTTGAAATTATTCTTTCTTTGGGAGTTTTCTGTTACTGCTGCTAACTCTAGACTTTGTAAGTGTGTTAAGCTTATCATACGGCTTACTTACCTTCCAGAAAAGCAAAAGAAATGCCTTTTCTTCCAGTGTTCTCACTGCAGTTGCTTTGGTTTTAACTAGAATGACAGGGCTGGAGAGTTGTCTCTAAGCACGTTTCTGCCCATTCTGGTGATGTCGCATCTCAGCCCCCTTTTTTTGTGTGTGTGGTACAAGTGATTTTTAATGTCAGTGCACTTGGTATTTATGTCGGTGGTTAACTTCTTATGGATGACATGAAGAAACACTGGTATGTATTTGATTTTGGATCGACATCATGATAAATGTGATACTGAACATCATAAATGTTTTGTTTAATATCTTTCCAGTTCTTGTCTTGTTAAAGAAGGTAGACATCTTCATTCCATGAAAAATGTTATCCCTGATATCTTGGTTTGCTCAGAATAATTTATAAATTGCTTTGTCAGTCCTGTTAAAACACAAATACAAGTGTCCTTGTACAAGCAGACATTACTTTAAGAGTTCATTTATATTACTCTAGTATCTAACTTTTAAATCTAATAGTTGTGAGTTAAGTATAAACTGACTTAGACTTGAAGTGATATACTATCCGAGTAACTGGAAGCTTTGTTGTGGGATGTGGAGATTGACACCTCAAGTTGGAAGTTGAATGGCTTTGTGAAAGAGCTGGTTTAAGTCCAGAGGAAATCAGTGGCCACAAAAGTTCAAGCAGTGTTGGATGGTAGGTCAAATTGGAGAGCTGAAAGCTCTGGAGCACGAGTTACAGTTAAACTTTTTCATCACACTTCAAAAATAACATTAGTGTTGTGCGATGTCATCTTTAATATAGTAATTATAAAGGACTTTTTGCAGTGAGTCTTTCTGTATGGAGCCTTGCACTCTGTGAATTACTTTCATTGCCTTTCAGACTGTGAAAGAAATGGGCCAGAGCTTCAAACTGCTGTTGTTTAGAGAAAACTTAAGAAAGTGGAAGAAGCCCTCAGTCTTGTGATGTGATCTATGTGGCCTAGCAGCCTAGGCTTTTTAGTTATACATTAGGCTAAAAGTTCTTAAATCTGCTTAGTTCCAATAGATCTGAAAGTAGGAAAAAAGTGGTATTATATTTGCTTTATAAATGGCAGCTCAATTAAAAAGTAATGGACTAGTCCAATTTTTGTAATTATTTTGTAATTATTATTATGTAATTAAAGTAATGCACTTAGTACACTTAGTACTATAGCAACGGAAAACCACGATGAGAGTAGAATAGAATTGGCATAAATTTCTCCCAGCATCTGTATCAACTTGTCTAAGCTAATACTTTCCTTCATTTGTGTAATACATTCACCATAAAATAAACCAGTTAGCTTCCAGTTTGGTTTCAGAGCATGGCCTCGAGAGAATACTATTGGAATTTCTAAGGAATAATGTAGACATTGATTTCTGTATTGTTATATTGTTACTTCAGTTAGGCACATGACACATATTTGACAAAAAAGATTCAAAGTATCTGCTGTGGGATTGAATCGGGAGCAATAACTGGCTATTACCTGCTGCTGTGTGGATCTCTGAGTGTGATTTTAGGTATTGTGTTGCAGTAACTTAAAAACATGTCTTCAGGGGCAGCAGACCTGCGACAGAGGAAGAAGCAAAACTGCACAGAATCTGACAAAATGGCTCCAGAGGAGAGAAACAAAGAAAACTCAAAGCTGGGAAGGTTGCCAAAATGTAAGCTACAGAATTTTTAGCCAACTTCTGATTTTTTTCTTTTCATTATTCTTTTACATTTTATGGGAAGATATTTGTAGCACAGTAATTCATAACAGACTTGTTTTGAATTAGTTTTTTCAATGTTTCAAGAAAAAACAGGAATGCATATTAGAATTCTTTAATAATGACAGTTTATGTATTGCAGAGTAGAATGGTAGTCCTGGATTGTTTCGGGTTGGGTGGGGTAGAGGAAGGGGGAAAGGCAAAGGGGTTAGGAGTCTTACCGTTGTTTCTATTTGAGTACAAATTGTGCCTGGAATGATACTTTGGTTGAAAAGCTGAAACCTGAAGTAATGGTGTTGAAACACAAACAGGCAAAAAAGTCCGTACAGCTTTTCAAGAAGCAGAACTAAAACCAGGCGTAACTTTAGGCAAGTGCTCACCAAGCAACCAAAAACTTTTATGTTAGAAGTGCATACTAACTTGACGGAGCTACAGGTGAAATAGACATTCATTGAATGAGTTTGGTAAAATTCAGATTAGGTTCTTTCTCTTATTTAAAAACAGAATAGAAAATAGAATGTTTCACTATTGATGTTAATGTCTTTAAGAAGTTTGTGGTATTTTGGGTAAAATCTAAAGTTTGCTCCTTTTATTTGGAACAATTCCTTCTTGGAATTCACTTGTAAATAAAGTTAACTGGAATGGAGAGAAATTTGCAGGATAGCATGTAAGCATTTTATCTGAGAGTCCTATGAAGGAATGGTAACAACGGGGAAAGAAAACTCTGCAGGGCAGAAATAACAAACTGATTCTTGATGTATCTGTGCTGCTGCTGGTGGTGCGATAATTCTCATGCCAGTAAGTTTATTTGATGTTCAGAAATGGCTCATATTCAGGGCACACTGTTTGCTTCTAAATCCTCTGGACTATTTTAGCTTTTTCACTGTCCCTTTTCAGATATGTTAATTCAGCGATTTGCGAAACTTTTCTTTGGCTGTCTTGCGGCAGTTACTAGTGGGATGATGTATGCTGTGTACCTCTCAACCTATCACGAACGGAAATTCTGGTTTTCCAGCAGGCAGGTAAAAAAAATTGTTAAACTACTGAAACAAAAGCCAGATTGTATCCTTGAAATCAAAGCTGAGCCGTGTTGGCTTGGAACTACTTGCTAGCAGAATCAGGCCTCTGTCTTTGATACGGTCTCCTTTTTTATTTTCTTTCTTTGCTGTATCATTGAAATACCTGTTTAAAATCTGGAAAAAAAAACCATGAAGCATGCTGGGATTATATAAACTAAACAACATGAATGTATGGGGTTTTTTGGGCTTTTTTTTAAAGAACTATATTATTTAGTGAAGTATGGAAAGTGGAATGAAATTCAGGTTTGTGATATGAAGGGATCCTGTGGGTCTTGTGCTTACAATGTGGTTTTGAGTTGCTCTGATTCCAAGCATGTTTGCAAAGTTACAGAGAGCGTTATGTATCTGACAGAGGTGCTGTGAAGATTAATGTTTTGTGGAATACTTTGAAGATGTGCAGTGGAGTCATAACCATGTGCTGTGTTACAAAACCGGTCTATCTGAAAATATAGTCTCCTATGGGAAGAGATTGCAGGAGGTGAATATATATGTTTTTTTTTTCTCTAGGAACTTGAACGAGAAATTACATTTCAGGGTGACAGCGCCATTTATTACTCATTCTATAAAGAACTGCTAAAGGCTCCTTCCTTTGAAAGAGGTACAAAACCTGTTTGTTTTATTACCCTTGGAAAGTCCTGTTCCTTTCAGAGGCAGTAAAAACTCCTGCAGACGGGGGAGACTTTTATGCTTTTAATAGGTGTACCAGTCAGATTAATTCAGAACTGCATGCTGTCCTAACTTTTCAGTGCCTTTTAAAAGACAATACATATCTATCCTGTATTCCAGCAGATGGCCTTCAATCAGTATTCTGGAATAGGATTAATATTACTCCATACAGAAGTTATCGTTGGGTTTGCCTATGCTACATAGTGGATTTTCTGCAGTGTAAACATGATTTATGTTTAATTTGGAAACGCAGTGGAAATTACTGTTTTCCATCCTCTGTCAGAAGATGGAACAGTTTCTGTCAAGAGTTGATCTACTCCATCCTGTCCTTGCCACAGTTCTCTGCTCCTGTCAGCTGTGATGAGTAGACTGTGATGAGCACTAAGAGATGGGGACAGAAACCAAAAGGAAAGGGAACAAACTCGGTGGTGATGGTCTCTGTCCTGCACTGGCTCTGGATCTCACAGCCCCTAGTTGCCTAAACCAGCAGAAAACTAAAGCATTGAAAAGACAATGGAACACTTTCATGCTGGTTTAGTGAGTTCAGAAGGGCACCAGGGCTAGCATGGGGAAAAGGCAGGAAAGAAGAGGGAGTGAACAGTCCTGTCTCGACTTGGTCAGTTGTTGATTCAGCTCAGTCCCTCAAGAAACCTCATCTGAAGTGAGTTGAACTTTTTAGGTAGAATTTTATTGTTTGAACAGTTTCCCAGCTGATGTAAAGCATGTCAGCAGTATATAGTAAGTCTTTGGTACAATCAGTTCCTCATTATTTGGGGAGATTATCCATGCTGTGAATAGATGGACTGCCTCATTCAGGCATGCTGCCTCTGCAAACAGGTAGACTCATGTACTAGGTATTATGGGAACAGTTTTCAAAGGTGTTTTATAGCTGTGCTGAACACACTTTTAAGTCTTGCAAGACCTGGTTTGGCCTGCAGAGAACCAGCTGCAGGCCACATACCAGACATGCTCAGAGCTGGAAACAGTTATCTTGTTTGGCTGTTCCATTGATGTTGGGTTTTTGTATGTCGTGTCCGACCCCCCAGTTTGGATTAATTTTTCTCTTGCCTCTGCTGTCCTAAGTAATGGTAAGTCTTTTATTTAATTATAGTGTTTCAGAATGATGTATCCTTCAAGTCTGCCAGCTTCAATTTCATCTCAGTCCCATACAAAGGTGTATTGTGTTTAGTGATTCTTAGAAGTCTCAGAAACGTGGGGCTGAAAAGGGTGACAAGGCCATCATATCTGACCTTTTTGTGGAGACAGGTTTAATACATCCTGCTCATCCCTGTTAGCTCTTTGTCTCACTTCTTAAGAACCTCCTGTGAAGGCAATCTTCACAAGTAGGTAGGTGTATCAGTACGTTACTGAAAAGACCGGTTAACTTCAGCTGGTTAGTTTTGGGTCTATTTAAAGACTAAATCAGAAAATGATAACAACTTTGTTGCTATGTCAGTAGGGTGGAATGGCATCTGGCACAGAAATTTCTCCTTCCTTTAAAATTATGAGAACTGAATCAGTCAGTAGCTTTAATAATCGAATGTTTCCCCCACCTGTGAGTACATTTTCCCCCTTTTTAAGAGCAGCAATAGTAAGTGATTCCAAGTGTAATACATTATTTTTTTGTCTATAGGTGTTTATGAGTTGACACACAACAATAAGACAATATCACTGAAGACGATAAATGCAGTCCAGCAAATGACTTTGTACCCAGAGTTGATTGCCAGTGTTTTATATCAAGCATCTGGTAGCGAAGTATGTGTATTTCTCCTTCTTTTTGGGCTTTCCTTATGGTTGTGTATGTATGAGACTTTCTATGCTGTATACAATAAAAACATGCCATTTTTGTTGAGTGAATTGGGCTAAGCCTCTCACTAGGTCCAGTGTCTCCTCAATTCTGATTAGTCTCTGGCATAAGATTTTGTGGCTTTATATGCACTAAACTTTAATGTCTGTTCCTCTTTACTTCTACAAACCACTCAGAAATGTGGAGAGTATCTGTGCTATCCATTAAAAACAGGAAAGTTAGCTCCTTTGGAGTATGAAGTCTGTTATAGTGGTACCTGTCTCTGCCTATTCCTATATAGGTAAAAGCAGAAAAAAATTCCGGAGATAAATGTTTTGTCTCTTTCTGCTCTGCTCAGGCTTTGTTCTCCTTACCCCGCATACCTATGTCCTCTCTCATTAACGTTTCTTTTTTATTATCTATTTATTTTGGAACCTTTTTTGCCCACATCTTTGCTTCTCCAAGTTCCTCCCCTACATAACTTCTTCCAATAATCCTGTGAACTTTATATCTCACTGCAGTATAGATTTATTAAATCTGACACATACAATGTTCATGCTAAAGCAAATACAGAAATGATGGCACTAGCAGGATGAGTCCTGAAGTGCTTTTAATTCATACTGCTTTGTTCTCCCTCAGCCCAAAATAAAAGCATGCTCAGAACTTTTCTAGAATAGAGGCCATCTCTTACCTGTTTGTAAAGCACCTAGCACACTGTTAGCAGTATGCAAATAGTAAACAGTAATTATTTCCAGCTTCAGCTCAGTTGCCGCTATGTCTCTTCGTTTTTATTTGTAATTTCAGGAAGTTATTGAACCAGTGTATTTCTACATTGGTATAGTTTTTGGACTGCAGGGAATTTATGTGACTGCATTGTTTGTAACCAGTTGGGTTATGAGTGGGACTTGGCTGGCAGGAATGCTGACTGTAGCATGGTTCATTATTAACAGGTAAGAAAAACATCTTTATACAATCTAGTTTGTCAATAAGGCATTTTAAAATACTAGAGTGAATTGAAATGCTTTCTATTAAACTGTGTGTTCTCATTGTGAGAGCAAGCTTTTGTGCTGAATACCAAACATCTCCCAGAGATGCACTGATTTTCATGGTACTTTTATTAACGGAAAGGCCTCCTGTTACCCAAACCAACCATGCTGCCAGTTGAACTGATTTTATGCGTGTTTGTGAATACAGGAGTATTCTCACACAATTCCATTTTGCAGAAACATTCCTCAGAAAGTTTTGGTTTGTGCTGGTGAAGAATGAAAACAAGTTTCTGAAGTTGCTGTAAAACAGAATTGCTCTCTGTGGTCAACTCTAAATATTGTGACTGTTGCTGCTTAGAAGGAAACGATCAAGGGCATTTTTCTTGTAAAGAGTCTTTGATATGTTGGTTTTTTTTTTTATCTGCTTTTTGTAGTGGGTTTCTGTGCAGAATGGAATCTTAGAATCTCTTGGTCTCAAGAGTTTTGATTTTATTTTAAAACATTTCACTTGCAAGAAAATGTCCCTTCTCTTATGAAACACTGCAATAATAGAGAGCCTCATTTGGGCAATGAGAGCTTGTGTTCAGGCTCCTGGTCTGTCACAAAGTACCTCTGGGGCTTTCTGTGAATTTGAGAGCACTTAAAAGATCTACGGAGGAGCAACCTTTAAAAGTTGAACTGTTGGAAAGCATCTTTCAGTAGTGTGAAGTCATTATGACCAAATCTGTGATCAGTAGGTAAGAATACTGTTCATCAAGCTAATGTGAACAGTGGAAAGAAGGCAAAATGGTGAATAAATCTGTATTTTTTTTTTAACAAGAAAGAAGATTAAACAGTATTAACAAATTGAAAGGTCTAGTAGTTAAAAAAGCTCCAAATACGCCTCTGTAAGAGGCTTCAGAGGTAAAAATGAAAGGTGATGCTTTCAAATACCTAAATGATAAAGGAGCTTGAGGCTCCTTTTTAAAAGCATAGTAGAAACAAAGACTGTGTCCTTCTGAAACGGATACCTTTGATCACATTTGAAAGTGTGACTTGTGCTTCTAAGTCACTTTAGCACTTTTTAAAACTTTCTCCTACAGCTCAAATTGTGCAGATACAGTCAAGTCGTTCCATGAGAAGACCCTGCATGCTCCCCATCCATCTTTAATCTCTTGTTTTGCTGGGCAGAATTTTCGCTGTAAACAGAGTATCTGCTGGTGCTGCTACTATAAGGGAGCACTGCTTTGGATTCTAAGTATGTTGCGCTCAACCACCTAAATAATTTACTTAAAACCTATTGTATGAGATCAGAAGGGAATCCTTCTCTCTCAGCTATGAGCTGATTTTCACTGTTATGTGAAAGCTGCTGGTTCAGTAGTGGTTCCCTGCCTATGGACATAAGACCATTTAGCACTGCTTGTGGACGCAGGAGGCTTTGTCGTCACAGTGCAGGTTGGCAGGATCAGCACATGATGTGTCCAGCTCACAGAGTGTTGTGGTGGGTCCGAAAAGGCTGGAGGCAGATGCTTTCTGGCTACAGTCCTATAAACACCACGTAATAAGGAGACCTGCTGAATGAATGAGTAGAGTTTGGACCTTCCAACTGATACTGAATTTGTGACCTCTGTCAGCAGTAAAATTGTGTCAGTATTACTTGACACCTAATACAGGAATAGTTTGCTTGCAAGGCCACACTGATAACTGGAAGTGACATTTAGGCTTTCCTTGGTATTTTTATTCCATAAATATTTTAATAATTTTGTTTGTACTTTGTTCTAGGACAGATACAACAAGAATTGATTACTCCATACCCTCAAGGGAAAACTGGGCTTTGCCATATTTTGCATGTCAAGTAGCAGCTCTCACAGGCTATTTAAAAAAAAACCTAAATTGTTCTGCTGAGGTAAAGCAAAGTTAATTTCTTAATAAAGAGTTGCTGTAGAACTGTGTTCTAGAGTAGTTACCTTTGTCACTATTGCCCTACTAGGCAGAAAACAGTAGGTGTTTTATTTGTTCTTTTCAAAACAGCCACTTGGATTTCACCTAGGCAGGTGCAGTTTTTGCTAATCTGCTCTTACCCTGCCCTGTTATGCCCCCATGAGGGATCAGAGAGAACAGTGCAGTGATGAGCTGTTTCAAATAAACTGACGCAGAGTTTTTCTCACTATGTAAACTATTTTGTTGCTCTTCCTGTTCCTCAGAGAAGATGGTGGGAATTTCCTTTTCCTGTCTCTCTGTCAAAAATGTTTCTTCTGATTGGCTTGAAATATATTTGAATGTTTCAGTAGGTACTTGTTTCCATCTGAGAACGTTACATACATCTGCAGTTAGTATTTTAATTATTTCCTAAATTAATTAATTTCCATAGATTCTGTTTTAATGACCTCTTATTTACTTAGTAACAGAGATGCAATATTTAGTAACAGAGATGCATTATGAAATTCATGCTGGTTTTGTTTTTCTCTTTTTTTCTCTAGAAGTTTTGTTACCTTTTGGTGAGTGCTTCAACATACACCTTCGTGATGATGTGGGAATACAGCCATTATCTCCTGTTTGTCCAGGCTGTTTCTCTTTTTCTGCTAGACAGCTTTGCCCTGGCACAGACAGAAAAGGTATTAGAACTCTTAAACTTACTGATAGCTGGGGAGTTAAATACAGCCTCAGAGATGCCTGCCATAAATACTGCTCAGGAGCTCCAAAGGGCACAGACTGAGTGGTGCCTTGGTGTCTTGCAGCCTCGGTCCAGCTGATGTGCATGTCATGTCCATCAGAAGTATACAATGGCTTCAAACTTAACTGTCTTTTGGACTACTATGTTTAGGACAGCTTTCCTAACAAAAGGAGTCAGAAGCTAAACAAAGCTTCTAAGACCTGGAACATCCTTGGAAAGCTGAAAAAGTGATGATAGTCATGCATCCTTCTTGGCCAGCTGCCTCTTATTTTCTTTCCTATTCACACTAGTGTGGGGCTGACCAAAATCTGTTCTGTTGGCTCTGTACAGTTACAGGGCTCATTTTCACCCTGAGTCACCTACCCTGTATTGATGTAGCCACTAAATAGTCTAGACAGATGCTGAAGGCAAATTGCTTTTTCAGTACAAGAAAGTGTTTGAATTTATTCTGTAAAATCATTCTTAGAAATGTTGCAACAAGGAGGCAATTTTACTCTGCCTGTTGCAATGGTGTATCTGCTACTTTGTACATGTGTGCCTTCTAGTTTTATTAGGTGTAACTTCTGTTTCAAACTGCATGCAATTCTGACTCATCACCTATTTCAGTTGCTTTTTCCTGTTCCTCATCATTGGGAAATGTTTAATCTATTTTAGTCCAAAGCAAGCTCCTTAAAATATCATGGAGAAGATGGGTGTTTTGGTAAAAGTAAAGAACCGAGTATGAGGGTTTGTAAGATCTGCTTATTAATTAGTAAATAATGAAGTATCAGTAACAGTCTGTGTATTCCTGAGAAAGGTTGAAGTAACAGTTTATTGTGAAGGCAAGGGAAGTGCATGTTTATGGTAGTCATCTCTCACACAAATTACATGTTCATACCATTGCTTTGTGGTTACTGCTTCATTTCTCATTGCAGTGAAGTGTTACAGAATGGGGAGACCTTGTAAAATAACTATCACTTTGGGCATTTTTACAGAATTCTTGTGAAGTAATTGTGCCCTAGTGACTGAAGCTGACCAGGATCATTTTGATGTGAAATGCTTTCCAGAGCCAAACAGTACCCTGCTAGATTCATGAGTTGGAAGATAGACATCCATTAATCCCCAGTTAACAGAGGAATGAAGTGACCTATCTACTGCTCTAAAAACCAAGACATATATCTACTGTTATTTTGTTTCTTCAACAGGTGCATGAAGTATACAAAATCTACTTGTTTTCTCTCTGCGTGGGATACCTCTTGCAGTTTGAAAATTCAGCCTTACTAGTGTCACCATTACTGAGTCTTGTAGCAGCTTTAATGCTCTCTAAATGCCTTCAGGTAACTGGACTCTCCTCTAACTCCGAGTGTAGCTTTTATTATTTAAACTGAACTCTAAATGATTATAGCATTCTCAAAATATTTTTACAGATGAATGTGAAAAAAGGTACATTTATGTCAAGATTGATGAAAATAATGTACATTTATTTGGTACTCATGATAACAGTGACACTAAACTTCTTACTAAAGGTAAGATTCCTCTGTAAAAAAAGGGATTTTAATTGTCAAGATCTAAATGGAAAGTTGCAGATGTATCTTGGAAAAATCTTTTTGAAGTGTTTCTTATCTTACTGATCTGAGAGGTCATAGAATCATAGAATCATAGAATAGTTAGGGTTGGAAAGGACCTTAAGATCATCTAATTCCAACCCCCCTGCCGTGAGCAGGGACACCTTACACTAAATCATATCACCCAAGGCCTCGTCCAACCTGGCCTTGAACACTGCCAGGGATGGAGCATTCACAACCTCCCTGGGCAACCCATTCCAGAGACTGTAGTGACAGGACAAGGGGTAACGGATTAAAACTTAAACAGGGGAAGTTTAGATTGGATATAAGAAGGAAATTCTTTCCTGTTAGGGTGGTCATAGCTTAATTCATAGCAAATTGGAGTACTAAAATGTGTCATTTTGTATCTATATAAAAGGTCTTTATCTAAGAACTGAAGCAGCTTTTGTTGGGGTTTTGGTCTTTTGTTGAGATCACAGCACAGTATAGAAATAATTCTTTAAATCACACTTTAGCTATTTCATAAATGTGGTTTTTGTCATATCTTGGATGGCATCTACAAACTAGTCTGAATATTAAAACAGTAGTCTTGTGCACAGACAAGACCTAGTAGCCAGGAGCAGGTATGTGTAGGTAGGTGTTAATTTCCAATAAAATTTCAACTAGAATATGTGAGCAGAGACTTTTGCTTGGTGCAGCTAGAGGTTGAGATTACACAATGGGATTTTAGCCTGGTCTTGTATTTTGGTTAGCAACTCCCTCTTCCTGGCTTTAGTCTTGTACATAATTTATTGTGCTCTTCCTCTGTATCTCAAAGTTACCCCAATTGTGTTAGTTGACAGTGTCAGTTTAAAAGTAAAGAAGCGAGTGAACCCAAAAAAATCTGAGAGAATGCTCAGATATGGTTGTTTTCTTGTGCCACCCAGACTGGCTAGCCTTGCTATGTCTCCAGAAAAATAAAATCTAACCTTGAAAAACAGGGGTTAAATAACATGGACACTACACAGAACCTTTGGCTGCTCAAGCAATTTATGTGAAGATTACAAATGCTCATAACTCTTGTGAGGCTGGAGTGCTATTGTTTAGTGGAGCCAAACACAGTGTTCTTTGGCTAGCTTGGGTATAAGTCAATGTCTGTATTTCATGATCCTTTTTACACTGCTCAGTAGTCTTTTGACAACTTATTGACAGCTTTTCACTTGCCCTTCTCTTGAGGTGCATGGATGAAATGGAGTCATACTCTCAAGGAAACCCTAAAGGTAGATTTATTTAAGTGATGATTCACAAAACTGTACCAGTACCTTAACTGGCACACTAAATCCAATCTGTTAGTTTTAACTAAATCTTGAATAGTTGTTTGTTCCCTGACATTTTGTAATCTGAACGAAGTGACTGCATGAAGGCTGCTTCCAGCACTTGGTAAGACTTTTTCTCTGCTAAATTCATTTTCAGATGTTTGTTCCTCATAAAGAAAACGAGCATTTGCTGAAGTTCATTGAAGTAAAACTTGGCTTAAACACAACTAAGTAAGATTTCTAAACTCTTTGTACCTTGTAAGATATCCAAACTTTTGAAACTGTTCTGAGAAGTGTAAATTTTCAGTGGCTTCTGAGAATTTTGTGAGGAGTGAAGGAAATAGTTTCTGTTTGTCACTTGGTTTTAAGATTGAATCAACAAAAAATGCATATACAGAATTTACTTAGGATTTTGAGGTTGCTGAAGCACCCCAATATTTTTCATGCCTTGGGTTGAAAGCATTTCATAAATTTTTGTTTTCTTTTGATGCTAAAGAGCAAAAGGTTTTTATAACCTGCCTAGTGTTTCTAATAAGACTTGAAATAAAAGGTAACAGGGTAAAGGTGGTGGTAGTAACTTTTCATAGCCTGGAAAAGAAAGGGCTCTGAAAAGTTATGAACTGTCAAGCTATCTTAAGACAGGGTTTGGTTGTGAGGGTTTATTTTTAGTTTTGTAAGAATAACACCTCCAACTCCCTCCCCTCATATATTTCGGAAGAAATTAGGACAAGGGACAACTTAGAGGGAATTGTTGTATTCTAAGAAAAACTGTTTGCAACTCATCTGTAAGAGTTGAGTGTTGGTCTACAAGAAGATGTCATGGCTGGAGATTTTTTGGGGCACTTCAAATGGAGTATTGGTAAGGACTGAGACACCTCCTGGACCCAAGCCAAGACTTGCAATTCTGTGCAGGAACTGGGACTCTCTTCTGCGAGCTGCATCTCTTGCAAAACTACTTCACAGCCTTTCAGGGGAAGAAGTGGAAGATGGCATCACACACAATTGGAATTGTTGGGGAATTTTTGGAAGACAATATGTAATGTCATTGACTAACACACATTGTTTAACACACAAACATGCATGTTCTTAAGTGTTTTGCAAGAAAAGAAAGGACTGCTTCTGCTCAGGATTTCAGTTTATTCAGCTACCAGGTATTATGGATTTTATTGTTTCCCCCCCAGGGATTTCCTACATGTTGTTTTCCAGGCTGTCAAACTCTTCAATGAAGCCAGTGATTGAGGCAAACTGCGTGCATCTACGCCTAGAAAATTGTTTAACTGGGGGTTTGAATTATGGTTTGCAGCACAAGAGCTTCAAGATCTGTCTTTTAAGGCCAGTTTGGACATGCCCAGCTGTTAATCTTTAAACTGGTTCTGTCTAATTGAAAGTGGTTCAGTTCTTTAGTCTTCCTTTCAGGGAAAAGAAAAAGAAAACAGGGAGGAAAGCAAACAAAGTAAGACAAGAATGCATTCACAGCATCACATGCTGCACCAGTTTCCAATGACAATAAACACTGATAGTGCTTCTTGGCAGAATATATAATCTTTCTGCTCATTAATTGGAAAAGAAGAATGACCGAGTGGGTTCAGCTGCAGAACTAGAATTTCAGCATTAAGGATTCTATTCTTGGCAGTGCCTTGGGTTTGTTTGTGATCTCAGATGACCACTTTCCCTTCATCTCCCTGTTTGGAATGAGGACAAGCATACCTTCTTGCATCAGTATCTCTAAAATCGTAATCCACTGCGACAACAAAGTGCTTTGTGGTCCCCATAATGGAGTTACATGGGAGGCCAGGTTTTTATGATATAAAAGAGTTGTAGTCTGATCTCTTCAGATCACAGATTCTTTTTTTTGGAAGATGAGCTTTTGTCAGTGTCATGGTTTAAGTTACTCTGAAGAGTACTTGCAAAGCAGTTTCAATTTATAAGAAGATCATTTCAGAGATGAATTTCAGATAGTTTCCTATGACATGACTAGGTTAAGCTGTGAATGGTTTTGTGCTGGGTTATTTTTCTAATCTGTGGGGTATTTCTATTGTTTTTAATGGGATGTTTTTGCCTTACTAGGAATTTTACAATGAATTGGCTCCTTTGTCAAGAATCTCTTCAGGCACCCTCCCAAGACTTTTTTTTGCGACTAACACAGTCATCACTGTTGCCTTTCTATATTTTAGTATTAATTATCTGCCTTTTTTCTGTAACTCAGGTCATTTTTAGGAGAATTTGGTAAGTAACTTATTTATACTGAAAAATACAAAGTTTAAAATAAGAGGTTCATGGATGTCTGAGTGAATGGTCATCATATTTGTGGCTACAAAGTTAGCTGCTCCCATTGAACCTGACAGGGTGTAAGCACCAGGAGAAAGACTCACCAGAGGTTTCTGAAGAAAGTCCTTTATTGAGGAGCTTCTTCCTCACTTCCCTGCAGTCAGGACAGGGAGCTGTCGGTTTGTTCCCCCCCAGGTGCAATATCTGCAGAGCTCTCACTAATGTTCAGTGACATATTTGTCTCTTCCAGTCTGAGGGAGAAAGATATTTTGTCTGTTTCCACTTCCAACAGCAAAGTTATCTGATTATTGCAAAAGAATTTGTGTCTCTGGTTTGGGGGTTTTATTGTGTTTTTTTTTTAAAGTTAACACAAAATGAAGGATGACACGGGTGGAGTTGTGAGGAATTCAGATTACTAATGCTTCACCTTTTTTTAAACTCTTGTTTACTATGATAAGGTCCATCAGCCTTTGTTGCTTAGAACAGAGCTGAAGTGAAACTGAGTCGATTATTTTTAGCTTCACAGTGATTCACAGTTCCCTTGAGAAAAGGTGTAGTGGAGCTGTCTGTTTACAGACTAAGAATAGCAGCACTATATCCTAGTGTAACTTGTCTTGGAAGCTCAATAGCTGGGGAATTATCTCTTCCTGGCAGAAGATGAACGGTGTAACTGCTCAAGTATTAAGGCAAATTTCTCACTTGTCTGCAGCAAAAATCAATAGATTTTCTCAAGGATCAAGTTTTCTAATAGATAAAGATTATACTGCTATAAATGAAAATGTTTGTCGGGTTGGATGTGTGATAGCATATTCATAACAATGAAACAAACTTTGGATTTTTTGCTAGTAGCTGAAATAGCTGTTTACTGTTTTGTAATGAGCAGGGACTCCAGTATGTCCATCAGCTTTTTGAAAAAAAGCTTAAAATAAACCTTTTCCCCTCTTATTTCCATTTGTTGTGAGGAAGTTTATTATAAAATTGTAACCTGAAATCACATCATGGTAGCATAAAATGTTATTTATTGTGTGCCTTGCTACCTTCTCTGTAGAAGAACATTTGTTGTAAGATTTTGGTTATTATTTTTATTTATACTATATAACTAGAATTTATTACTGTGTGAATAAAAGCAGGTTTTGTTGTCTTACTTTGCCATAAAGTGGTATACATATTCTCTACACATTGTACAGGTTCCATAATTCTTCACCAACCTTATGATATGAAGAAACTTAGAACACATGTACAGCATGCTTCATCTAAATGTTTGTGGAGTGTGCATGCTCTTAAATTAGACTGTCTCTTGGTGCTAAATTGCCTTAAAATAAGATTTATGGTCATGGGCAGTGATCCTATTGTATTAATTCACAGCTGTTGCTCCAGAGAGGTTATAGTCTAAAACAAGGGACAGAGGGTACTGATAGATCACTGATGAATACAAGAATCAAATAAGCAGTGCAACAATATTGTATGATATGACATAGAATGATCTCAATGTACTGCTGACTTAAAGGTCATAAAAGTATTTTTATTGGCACCTCTGCCTGAGATAATGTCTGAATTAAGTGATGTTTCATTTTCTCCAACTGCAGTGGTGAACCACTGAAAGAGACAGTTAAACTTGAGGATGGTCGAATTGGAGAGAGGCCAGAAATAGTTTATCATGTAATTCACACAATTTTACTTGGTTGTCTAGCGATGTGTTTGGAAGGGTAAGTCTCATTTTGATGTATCTCTTTTGACAGCAACAGGGTTTCTAACTAGACATGATTCACCTTCACTCCTTTTCAGAAACATATTTGGCATATAGTGGTACTATATGTTAGTTAGTAGGGGAGAGAGCAAAGATCATTTTGACTATAAGTGGGATACAGGTATATGGTGAATTGTGCTTGGTCTCTTTAACTTGTTTTCCAAGCTTTAATGCTGCCAAAATCTGAGGCATTAATTGAAGCAAATCTTAATAACTTTCTTTATAGTACTTAAATGTAGAACTGTGCTCTGTAATTCTTTTAATATTGTATTCTAGCAAGGTGTTGTGTAGTGTTTTGATGAACAGTCTACGTTCTGGAATATTGGGACATGAAAGATTTCTTATCCGTCTTCTTGAGTCTAAGCTAGCATGAAGAATACTTTTGCTTAACATGTTAAAGTAGTAACAAAATTATTTTCAAAGGTACTGTGTTACTCCTTAAAGCTACAGAAGCTAATATTTGGAAAACATAATTGTTCTAATCTTGGCTTTCAGCTAAATCAGCTTAAAGGTGGCAGACTTGTATTACGCTCATTGTCCTAAATAGTGAATATTCACAAATTCTTAAAGTGAGCAGACTGTTGTGTCACCATGTAGTTGTTTTAACTTGACTGGTCTATTGCTAAGAGTCAGACAAATCATAAATGGTTTATGAAATATTTTCCTTTCCTTTCTTCAGGATATCCCTTATAGTACAATTTCTGTACAGCTTTCTTGAATAGCTGGGTTTTATCCTTCCTTGGCTGGAAAATTGCAACAGCCAAGTGGCTTTACAAGTGTCTCTGGTTTTCTTCCATTCTCCCCTGAACTCTAATAATTTTGTCATCTTTTACCTTGGCTCTTGCTCCTGCATCTCACAGCAGATAATCAGGTTCCTGCTCTTCTGCTAGGGAGTTCCTTGGTTTACCCTTCCGTGCCATCAAATTTGATCTCGGATTGCTTGAACATCTAGACTGTGTTTGAAGTGAAAAAAAACCTGAATGTTTGTATAAATAGCTTGACTACAGAGACATGTGCAGAGTCCCAGCTAAGTTATTGCAGTGTTTTTCAGAATGAAGTATTTATGGACGCCGTATGTTTGCATGCTTGCTGCATTTGGTGTGTGCTCTCCTGAACTTTGGATGACACTTTTCAAGTGGCTTCGACTGAAAGCTGTGCACCCAATATTGCTGGTGAGTTGCTGTTGCCAATGTCTTGGGAATTACAGCTAGTGAGCATATAACTTTTCCAGTCACAGCTACCTAAGACCTATAGATGAACCCAGCAAAAGAGCATGTAGTTCTGTGAGCAGTAGATCTCATATAGTCTGCTTTTCTTTGTCTTCTGTTCTTAATATCACACTTCACATGTTCTCTGGTACCTGATAACAAAGTTGGGTTCACACTACAGCTTTTCCTCATAAGAAGCAAGGCTGTCTTCATATCTCTTTCACTTACCTGTTTAATTTCTTTTAACAAACGTTTGAGACCTCAAGCTCTCTGTCGTACTTAGTTGAGATTGGCCAAGAAAGGCAATTACTTCCTAAATTACTTTTTAGGAGTAATGTGGGAGAAAAAGTACAGGCATGCAGGCAAGCATTGATATAAGCCCTTTTCCACTAGGAAATGAGTCAAAAAATCTGGTAGTTAGGTGTATTTAATGGCTGAGAGTAAAGCTGCTTCATAAGAACTGGTAAGTGGGATTACTTTGCATAGATTTGTTTATGTGTGGCCATTATAGAGAAGTGTCTACTTCCAACCCTAGCTTTATTCTTAATATGTCAACAGTTGCTTTGTGTAATTTTTAGCAGCTTTGTGCATTTGTTTTATTAATAAAATAAGGATATTACCTTAATTTTAAGAGGCTAATAGGAATAAATACTTAAACAGAGATTCACTGTGTCACTTGTGAAAATGCCATACACTGTTATATCAGAAACATTGACAGTGTTCTTCCAATAAAGAAGCAGCAATATGTCCATGTACGTGGTAAACACATTCTTCTATATACAGTATGCTTTCTGCTATATAGACCTGCTTTTTTACTGTAGTAGATATGTTAATGGCTTATTATCAAGAGAATGCCTTGTCTGCATTCCTTACTGAATGTTTCCTATACCATGCAAGTTATTTTCTCCTTTTTGCAAAGCTGAAGAACGAGTTTCTGGGCTTTGTGTATTAATATTGTTAATGTGAACGAAAGCATCAACAAGATCAGAGGTTTGAAATACTTGTTTCATACTTTTTTCCTTTTTCAGATTCTCTCACTGCATTAATATGTTAGGTGTTTGCTTTCTTCTGTTCCCTACATCATGTGCGTGTTGTGTCATTGTTATTTGAGTAGTAATTGACCCTCCCCAGTATTGATGGGTCAAAGTTATTGTGGGTCATAGAATCATAGAATAGTTTTGGTTGGAAAGGACCTTAAGATCATCTAGTTCCAACCCTCCTGCCATGGGCAGGGGTCAAATAAATTCTCCCATGCTAAATTGTGCAAATTCTTGTGTGTAAAGAGTTTTTTGCCTATTAGAAAACCACAGTTTCACCTGCTGTCACTCAAAGGTTTTGGCATATATATGGCTTACTGTATGAGCAGAATCAACAAATAGTCCAAGGTTGGAGAATGATGCATAATCCATTTCTTCTAACATGTATTTTCTAGGCTCTTATTCTGAGTATGGCAGTTCCCACAATAATTGGATTCAGCTTGTGGAAAGAGGTAGGAAAAGTACCTTTGTTTCTTTTTGTTTTGTATGTAGGCACACTATGAGTCAAAATGATGAGCAAATATAATGAAATATGCTTGGTGAAATGAAATATATATATATAAAAGCTGTCATCCACTGAAAGTATGTTTGGTTTTAGGTTTGGGTTTTTTGTAAACAAAACTGTTTGCATTTTTCAGTCAGAGTTATTTGACAATTTAATTTGTTAATGATTGTTTACTGTAATTAAGTGTTTAAATTTAAATGAAGACTTTATTATATGCAGCTATTAGGCTTTGGATATATAAGCTGACTCAACAAAGAAAATACTGCCAAATAAAAACTCAGGATATTGAAAACTGTGTTGCCCCACTCTTGGTTTTAGTGAGAGGGAGTAAGGTTAGATGGAAGTAGAATTATGGGAGGCCATATACGAATAACCTGTTTGAGAAGCTCCCATCAAATTGTAATGGAGTTAAATCCTTCATGCAGAGCACTGTGTAGAGATGTGTGTATACTGCTTACAGGGAAGAAAAGCTACAGATGTTTCCATGTTCAAAATAAATACCTAGTCCTTTATTGCAAGTCACAGACACCCTGGGGAGGGGAAAGGGTTAGGGTTAGGGTATTGGGAAATTATTTTTTAAACTTCTGTAAGTGCAAAATATGTGGAAAATATCCCATAAAGTGTAATGCTCTGCTGCATTGATGTAGCTTCAAAATAGTTTGGATAACTTTATAGGAATTCAAATATGGAAGCCAGTCTTGACCAACACTATTGTAACATGTTTTGTAACATCAATGTTGTTATAAAAACTTTGGTTGCAGTTTAATCTGACTCTTTAGACATTTCTGCCAGAGTGGTAGATATTCTTTTGAAAAAGAGCTACAATTCTTCAAAAATGTTATGAAATCTATTATAATAAACTAGTTGACCAAATAATTCTGAGTTAAATCTGGGCAGCAAATGGATTGAGAGCAGTCCCAAGGAGAAGGACTTGGGGGTGTTGGCCAACGAAAAGGTCAACATGAGCTGGCAGTGTGTGCTTGCAGCCCAGAAAGCCAAATGTGTCCTGGGTTGCATGAAGGCGAGTGTGGCCAACAGGTCCACAGAGGTGATTCTCCCCCTCTACTCTGCTGTCGTGAGACCCCACCTGCAGTCCTTCAGCTCTGGGGCGCCAAAAAAAGAGGGAGATGGACCTGCTTGAGCGAGTCCAGAGAAGAACTGTGAAGGTGATCAGAGGGCTGGAGTACCCCTCTGTCATGGTTTAAGCCCCACTGGTAACTCAGAGCCATGAAGATAAGTTGAGAGAGTTGGGCTTGTTCAGTCTGCAGAAGAGGAGACTCCAGGGAGAGGTTACTGCAGACTTCCAGTACCTATAGGAAGCCTACAAGAAATCTGGAGAAGGACTTTTACAAGGGCATGTAGGGATAAGACAAAGGGAAATGGCTTTAAGCTGAAAGAGGGGAGACTTAGATTAAATATTAGGAAGAAATTCTTTACTGTGAGGGGGATGAGACACTGACACAAGTTTTCCAGAGAAGCTGTGGCTGCCTCACCCCTGGCAGGGGATGAGGCTTTGAGCAACGTGGTCTAGTGGAAGGTGTTCCTGCCCGTGGCAGGGGATTGGGACTGAATGATCTCTAAGGTCCCTTCCAACCCATTCTGATTCTGATTAATTTTTAATAAAAGCAGTGTGGGAGTTTGGACTCTAGGGGGCTTCATCTATCGCAGATCCAGTTTCCGCTTTTAAGCGGTGGTGAACACTTCGCTCTCCAGGTTCGTAACTCATCCCTGAGTTTAAAAACTTTGATTAACAGTAATGGGACAGTGCAAATGCCTTGAGGTTCTTAATCTGTTACCGTGGCTATAAATGGCTCAGTGTACAGCTCAGCATCTTTCTGCTTGGTCACCTTCTGACTCAGTCTGACGTAGTCCATCATCTAACTAGATTTTTCTAAGCGCTTTGATTGATGAGTGGAGCTGGTTCTCCTTGAGGTGGCAGTAGCGGTTCCTTTTTCTGTTTGTCTATTGTTCTGGGGACAGATCAGGTCTATATGTTACAGCACTGCTACAGCTTTCAGCCCCAATACAAACATATGGCAGCTGTTTTGTGCTACCCTAACATGGCTGGTTGTGAACTGCTATCACTTGACAGCTGAATTGTCCAGGTAATGGGGTGGAAACCCCTCAGTTAAAAGCAGGCTCCCACTTCTGACTGTCCTCTCTGGCTGTCCCCAGGTAAGCTGTTCCTTTAGTCTGGCATAACCTGTAAACTTTTTCAAAAAGAGCTAGTGTTCACTAGCTTTCATTAAGCATTTACAGCAGCATGATTGTGCTCCAGCTCCTTGAGGCTGACCAGCTTCTAGCCATGCCTTCTTCAAATGTTTATCTGAAATAAGCTAAAGGAGTGACAATTCTCACGTCTTAATGAAGGATCTGTTGTTCCTTCACCCCTCAAACCTGACAGAATGGGGAAGCCATACTGCGGGCTTGCAGTCAGGGCTGGTCTGAAGGAGTTGGCATTCTGTTTGACTTCCCAGAATCCCTTCTTTTCCCAAAATGTTTTTCAAGAATATAAACTGAGATGTCCTACTTCCTACAATATACTGTACTTCACTAGTTGAAGTAAAAGCCAGAGGAAAGTCCGGGCAGACTACCTACCTAATGATCTAGGAAATTTCTTTACTCCTGTCTTTCTTGCATAGCATCTTTCTGACAAGTCACCACAGTCCAACCCCTCCTGCTCGTTTACCATGAGAACATGTATCAGCTTCTTGTTTCAGTGTCCTTACTTGTATGTATTTGTGTTTGAAAACCTGAACTATGGTTTTGATGCATTTAAGACCAGTTAAAGTTGATGGATGTTGTTGTCCTATAGGGTTTTTTTGTTATTGGGATTTTTTGCTTGGTTTATTTGTTTGATTATAAGTATTATAATAAAATAGAGAGAGCTGAGAGCTTATGTTTAACGTACTTATTTTGGAGGTGGTCTCCTGCTGTTAGGTAAACTGTGTTTTCCAAAATACTCAAACAAAAATACCAATTAGGAGGGAAAGCTCAGATGAAACCCTTTTCTGTTATGTTACTTAAGGACTTAAATAATCTAGAGAGCATCTCATTATATTAACTGTAAGTAACCAAAGATAAATATGTTTCCATCAGTTTTTCCCTAGGATAATGACAGAGCTTTCAGAACTACAAGAATTCTATGATCCTGATACAGTAGAACTTATGACATGGATAAAGTAAGTTTGAAGTCCTACATTTCTGTTTTACTGCTTTATATCAGGGTATTTTTATCTCAGCATTTTGTGGAGCTCCCTCTATTAATCTGAGTTTTCCCTTGCGAAGACATTCCACAATATGTGGGAGGAGAAGTGTGTATTTTAGGTTTGGTATTATTCCTATGGAAAGAAACAGGAATGTATTTATCATCGATTACAAGAGGAGAAGATCTTGAAACACCCAAGCAAATCATGTTTAATATCATTGCTAGACCTAATTTCCAAATAAAGGCGGACATCTCAGTACCTGGCTCTTTGTATGCTACCTTTTCCTAATTACAGGATTCATGTTGGCTCTCATGATTCATGTGATGCCAACAGGGGGCAGAAACGCTGCAGTTCTTGTGTGCATGAGCCAGTAAAATGAAATGCCTGAATGTCACCATTTAGACTTCAGTCAAGATACATGCATTATAACATAAATGATTCACACTTCCTCTTTGACCAGAAGGCTGGAAGGGTTCTTGCCTGTCTGGCTAGGTAGGGCATGGCAAATACTGAGCTCTGTTATATAGTTCATACTGAACCAAATACATAGCTGATACTGAGTCAAGTTACTTTCACAGATGTGTGTTTCTTCTCACCAGAAGTTTCAGAACTGGATTCTGGTCTCATTCAATCTAACTTTGAACTATGTCATTAGGAACTGCACTTCTCTGAAAATGAGATCCCCTGTGTTCAGATAACTTACTTTTAACTGTATTTATATATATATATTATTTTCTGTGTCTATACAGTCTTTAATATCAATTTGTTCATCTTCAGAAAAGGAAAGGCTGGTAATTGTGGTGTTCCAGCCAGTTTCTTCTTTCTGTTATAGTAGTGTATGTTGTTTGCCACTGCTGTAGCTCTTGACGGCAGCAAATGGAATAATGCCAAGTACCTAGTGGCTTTTACATTAGTCTGCATGCATTACACTTCAAGCACATAATTAATCATGGTGAATTGCATTGAGATTCACTCAGCTAAGAACAATTTGACTATCCTTATTTGTATCAGCTGTTCATATTTTCAGTGAAAATAAGGATATTTTTTTAATTATTATTTTTTAAAAGGATATACTTAGATATCCATATTGGAATTTTAGTTGAATGTAATCATTACAGTGTATTTTCTTAAGTTTTTCTGTCTAAGAATATAAACTTATTGTGAATTTTCTCTGCAGGAAAAGTTGCCCAAAATCTGTAATAAAGTGTGACAATGACTGTTTTCTTTCACTAAAGCACAAATGTGAATAATGAAAAAATTAAACCAAACCCAGGAAACAGAATTACTGCAAACATTATTCTGTAGCATGATACTGTTTCCTCATAGATAATGAAATATATACTCCTAGAGATCAGATGAAAATAATCACAAATCTTTGACTTTCAAGATAACATTATGCTTCTATTTCTACCTGCCCTCCCTCTCAAGCCTGTTTTGTCACAAGTCAGCAACCATTCAGAAGAGCAATAGTTTGATGTGTTCCAGGACTGCATCACTGTTCTGAATGGTGCTCCATGGGTTGCAGGGAGGGGAGGAGAATGTCCACCCCTTGCCCCAACAGGAAGAATTCCTTGCAAACTCCATATTGCTGCAGGTCTAAGCTTTTCCTGGCAAGGAAACTACTGTCACTGCAGCATTAACATCAGTTGTGATTAGACCCCCAATGATTTCTTCATGTACTCCAATTCATACCTTAAGAAGATTCATACAGTGTATAAAATTAAAACAATTTTTTTGAGAAATGCATCCAATACTCAGACATGTGTTAATGGTGCTTTTGCAGGCGACAGGCTCCTGTGGCTGCTGTGTTTGCAGGCAGCCCACAGTTGATGGGTGTGATTAAGCTCTGTACCGGATGGATGGTGTCAAGCTTGCCTTTGTATAATGATGCTGATCTGCTGAAAAGAAATGAAAATGTAAGTATCCAATTCTATTAATGTGGCATCTCACAGGAACTGTCTTCCTTTTCACCCAAATATAATGAGGAAAAACATCAAATATATTGAAAGGAAGGAAGACGTAGGAGTCTAGCAGACAGGGAAGGGAATATCAAGTAGATTATCAATGCTTCAATCTGTACAGGAACAAATATCAAAATATTATTTCTGAAGACTTTTCAGGCCACTTGGAGTATATAAAATGAGAACTTGCCTTTAGCAGAGACAAATACTTCCCATTCAGCTGGCCATTACATCACTTGTTTTGGAGATTTTGAAACCAAACCTTTTCTAGTTTGGTGTGTACATATAATTTATTATTGCGGATAAGTTACCCTTCTCCCCCGAGTATTTAATTTATCACTGGTTTTTGCATTGCATGAGTATGTTTTCTTAATTTATAGATTTATCAGATCTATTCAAAGAGGTCAGCAGAGGATATTTATAAGATACTCACATCTTACAAAGCCAATTTTCTGATTATTGAAGATTCAATTTGCAATGAAGTGGGACCTGTAAGAGGATGTAGAGTTAAAGATCTGTTGGACATTGCTAATGGTCATGTAAGTAACAGTAAGAAAAAAAGAATGTTTGAATACACAAGTAATTAATTTTAGAAGAAATGGTCTTATAAGGCTGATCTTATTTTTCTGGCTGTAATTGACATGTAGACAAAGACTCATGAATTTTAGGTGGTGAATTAAGTTTTGATTTGTCTGTTTCTTACACACCTGTAACCTTATCCCATATTATTCTTTAACTGCCCTAATCCCTCCTGTTACGTTAGTACTTGTGCTGCTTTTCTGCTAATCATTAAATACCATTTAACTATATATAAATATTTAAGACTGTAACACCTGAAGAGGTTATTACAAAAGGAATAAAGCCCTGCCTTGGAGGGCATTCCTTACTAGCTTTGAAGATGAAATTTTAAAATGGATAAACTGAGTTCTTCTAAAACCCTGCCTGGGATGAAGACCAGCCTGCCATTCAATCCAGTGCAGCCTGTTTGGTACTAATGAGGTCACAAGTCTGCTTGGTCTTGCAGATAGGTTAGCACCCCAATAGATAGCTTAAGCCACAGCTGCTGAAAAGATTGTTAGTTGAATAAACTGCAGAGTTATGAGTATTTACATGAATGCTGCTTCAGTTGCTGCCATGCTGTGTCTGTTCTGAAAGCTGATAGTGCTGCTTTTGCTGCTGAAGCAGTGAGTAAGATGAGGTTTATAGAGTGATCTCATTGCCACTTGTTTTTCTGTTTCCTGTGAATCCAGCCAAAGTTTTGCCTTTACAAAGGCAGGAATGACCCTTAACTCACTTAGGGTTTGGTTGCTCATTCTCAGTTCAACAGGAGAGAGGGAGACACGAGTTGCTTCTAACATCAAAAGACAATATCCAGTGCAAGGAATCTCTTTGATAAATGCCACACACAGCACTGACAGTACGCATAAACTGTTAGTATTTTTGTGTAATGAGGATTGTCAAAGTGACAAAAGGTTATCCTATCTGTAGTGGAGAGATTAAGAAAGGGAAAATAAGGTTCATGATGAGAGTTTAATTTCCAACAGGAATAAAATTGTGGGGGTTTTGGTTGGTTGTTTTGTTTGTGTTTTTTTGTGGGGTTTGTTTTTTTTTGTGGAATTTGTTGGTTGTTTGGTTGGGATTTTTTTTTGGGGGGGGGGAAGAGTGGGGGTCAGAAAGTTGACATAGCTTGTTCCTGACAGTTGGCAGTGTGTTGTCTCAGAAGCTTTGAAACAAAACTCTCAGATTTCCTTACTAACAAAAATTGTTTAAGTTGTATTGAAAGATAATCAAGGCTTTCCAAACTAGGGCATATGTAATTGGAGAGTTATTTATTTATAAGACTTACTCCCAAAGTAAGTGAGACAGTGGGCATGCTGTTATGCTGTTGACAGGTTCTGTTTTCCAAATTGCTGTGTTTAAAGAGGTAAGTATTACTTTCTAGCTTGGACAAAATCCTATAATCCTAGTCTGGTATCTTGCTTCTGATACTGGCTGAAAGCATATGATTATTGATAGACAAATGTTTTCTAGCAGTCTGTTGCTAAAGGATTGTAGCTCATAGGACATATCTTTGCATTTGTAGCCACTGGTAGATTTTTCTGCATTAATTTGCCCTACCAGCTTTTCTTAAACACATGTAAATTTGTGCCATCAGAAGGAGTAGCAATGGGATTTATTTAAGAATATTGGATAGTAGATACTAAAGTGCACAAGCACTTTACTTCCAAGTCAATTGGTTGGAATTTATAGGGTGATACGTGTGTGTCTGTCTTCAGGCTTTATTAGGTATGTCAAACTTTCTTGGCCTGGAAAACACCATTGAGGGTTTCCTACCCTATACAAGTGGTATGCTATGTGCAAGTCAGGTTTGAAGCTTTCTGCTTTCTGCTGCCATTGTTCTTCATTGTATGAATAAAGTTCATGTCTGCTATCCTACAAAGGTATTAATTCACAAAGGCTGCTTTAGATGGTTAAATTATTGAGGAATATGTTTTCATCATACAGCATGGAAATTAAATGTTTATTGTAAACGAAATTTACAGAATACAGGAGTAAGTTAAATGTGTAGCGTTATGTTCTGTAACCACTTATCTTCACTATTTTAATTAGATCTTCTTTTCTGGCAGGTGGTTTGTGAGGAAGGAGACAGCTATGCCGACTCAAAATATGGACGATTTTGTCATGAAATCAAAATGAACTATTCTCCATATGTTAATTATTTTACTCGAGTATACTGGAATAGATCCTACTTTGTATATAAAATCAACACTGTGATATCCTTCCAGTCATGAAAAAGCATGCAGGCTTCTTTCTGAGGATTGATTGAGAATGGAATTCAGTTGGAAGAGTACCTTTTGATCAAGGGAGTTATTTTTGCAGATACATGTGCGTATATGCAGTGTATTGACAACTTTATTTTACCAAACTGGAGTTCTTTGAACTGCAGATCAGCAGACACAGATATCATCCTTGAAGGAAACAGGAAAACTTGTCAATTTTACAGTCTCTGCAAAGTGTGACAGTCTTCCAGGTTTTTGCATTTTCTTTGCATTATAAATCATCTTCATGTAAATGAGATTTCTAACTTTAGTGTTAGAGAGCTGATGTGGATAGACTTCAGTAAATGCAGAAAAGTTATTTAAAGAGCTCATTTAAGATGTACAGCTTTTATTTTCTAGTAAGAAAGCAGTCGGTATCCTGAGTCTTTTCAAGTAAGTGTTTTGGGGTTTTTGGTTTTTTAATTCTTCCACTGTAAGCATTTCTGTGTTTATCAAACACACATTCATGCATTGTATGTGTAGCTGTCGCATTTATATAAATCAAATGAGGAAGATTTTGTTTAAACTGCACTTCCTTAGATTAAGGCACTGATCTCTACATTGTTAGAGACATGTAGAAGGCATGGTGGAAGTGCTTGGACTTATACCTAGCAGTAGGAGTTGACCAGGTCAGATATTCAGTATGGAAAGAACTTGTCTTCAGGATTTTTCCATGCTTAAGTGTGTATGTATGTATGCATATATGTGTCTCAGCACCTATAAGAATGGGCCAGTATAGAACAGTATGCCATACTTGCTTTTAGACAAGTGTAGGAGGACAACTAGGTTTGCTACTGAGACTTCTGCACTTCTGTTTCACCCCCTCTGCCTGCGTGCTGGCACCTCTGTGTGTGTGTGTGTGTGTGTGTGTGTGTGTGTGTGTGTGTGTAGGGATGGGTGATACTCATTTCATTCAACTTATTATAACTACATAAGATATTGCTGTAACTATGACTTAAAACACTATAATCACCACCATTAATACATAATGGTACAGTTTTTCATAGCTATTTTTATACCAATTATGCAACTACACTGAGATCTTCTAAAATTTGGGAAAGTACTCTGTAATCTTGTTTCCCTCTAAAATTTGTCTTCCTCATATGACTCCCTTTGCATCTACAACTATTTTTCTTAACATATTATGTGTTCATCATGTTTCTTGCTGGCTGATATGCTTTCAAGAGAAAATGATGCTTTAATTACAACTCTGGGCCTAATCCTCATGTTGTAAGTGGAAAATCCACTAAAAGGTAACAATAGCTTTGTTTACATAGGTGTAGCTGGACAAAAAGCCAGGACGTAAGTTTTGGAAGAGGTTATTCACCTACTAGGAATTACCTGCAGTTATGGATTCATGTAACACCTGGCCCAGAGACCAGTCTGTCAAACATGTGCAAATGTTTCTTTGGAGCCCAGATATCTGTAGTCAAGGGTCTGGCACAATAGGATGAACCTTCAACTGAAGAATCTGCAAACCATTCTGCAAAGGAAAGCTGCAAAATTATCCTTGCCACGCTTGTTGATGAAAGGCAAACTCAGAGATTTTAACTCTGAAATTATTAGGAACTGCAGCATGTTGGTGATGTGGGTGATTCTTTTCTGCTCTATGCAGATGCATTTGCTTACTTTACACTAACAGGTAGTGCTGAGATGTTTTAAAACCTGTTATCACTATTGGAGTGATATAAAAGAAAAACCTTTATTGTTATCAAAGTCAACATGTCTGTAATCTGTTTTCTACATTCAGTTACATTTTTAGGCCTCTGAGTCTTGAAAAGATGTTAAATTATGTATTTTATTGGAAACCAATGATCAGGGAAATCCACAGAATATACTGGGATAGTCATTGAGAGAGACCTTCATCAGTATAACTGAGTTACAAATTAAAAGTAAATATCCTTTCTCGGGATGCAGTCGTGTTGAGGACAGTGTGCATGTGTGTCTGTAGCCAAATGCAGTCTGCATTTGTTTGCTTACGGACAAGTGCATATGTTTTACTGAACTGGACTTTTCAATTACCATATAAGAACAGAAGGTATGGCAGGCCTGCAGGAGCCTTCTCTCTATGTGCTAGTATGGAAGTAAATGTAGTATTTGAAAGTAAGATTAGCATTCCTTATACAGTTTTAAGTTTGTTTGAATTGCTGTTACATGTCTGTGTGTCAGTCACTTGCTCGCCTGAAGTTAATCATTCATGAATACCATTTCATAACAGCAATAAGGCATTCCAGGTAGCAAACTTCAGGGTTACAACTGCTCTTGGGTGGATGAAGTCGCACAGTTTACGGCTTCATGCCTTAGACTGCCATGCCAAGATGCAATATTTAACTATCCTTGACTGCCTGTTGCTTTTTACTGCAGTACTGTATGTATGTGTTTCCCCACATAGTTTGACTGCTTACATGTACAGCACACATGTTAAGAAAAAACCCACAAAAGAGGCCATCTGTACTTGTAAAGAAAACTACCTTGTAGTGTGTTGGCCTTTCTGCACATTTAAACAAACATGTTGAACTTTATTTGAACTGTGACATAGTTTAGTTGTTAGTTTTGTCATAGTTTTTGAGATGTATTCTTGATACTTCAATTGATTCTGCTTTAGGAGAATCATTTAAGATTTTTACTTTTTTATATTAGAGAAAATTGTATTGCAGCACAGTTGGCACAGCAACCTTAAATAACAGAATGAACCTTTTATGTGGTAGAAATGCTGCTGTTGTTCCAGTAAAAAGGGCATCATTTGTAAAATGAGTGACTGGAAGAATCATATCTTACTGAGAAAGATGAGCCTGAATTTCTTATCCAGCTATCGATTAGCAAAAGTTTTACTGTCTATTTTAATCTCCACCTTCTGTGAAAAATAAGCAGTAATTTTCACTATAACCCTCAGACAAGAACAGAGCATAATTACATCAGACTAGTACACAACCTGAGCTTGGTTTTCAGCCCCGTCTCAGGTTTAACTCCCTGGAAGGGCCGGGGGAACATTTTACAAGTTTTGATCTGTTTTGCTGTAGATGTTGCAATTCAGTTGAAACACGTGCCTTGCAAGCCTCTATTAAACGAACAGAAAACTCCCTTTGTGTTTCTTTTTGTGAAGATTGTTGGTTTTGTTTTGATTTTCTTTTTCTAAATCCCTGACTTTCTGATTTCTAAAGCTTCCTTTGTGTCTTAATACCCCAGTCTCTGAGGATGCTCCTGTAGTAAGAGGTGCAGCTGGGATGTACGCCAGCCATCTAACAGCTGATGTAAGAATTTGCATAGCAATTTGTGTTGCTATTTTGCTGGCTTATTTCCTCCTTCACGTTTCCAGTTTCTGATATGCTTCATCTTAGTAAAGGCAGAAAGATTACCTTGAAGAAATAAAGTGAGTATAGTATTTTCAGGCGCTCACCTGTCACAATTACAGTTGCAGGTTAAAGTTTAATCGAGCCACAGCTAAACTGATGTGTAGTTCTGTCTTAATCTAAAAAAAAAATGCTCTTTCACTTCTTGAATTACCACATACTTGAATTCAGTTGATAGATTTGCCAGGAGGTGTTTGAGAGTAAGTAAAGGCATTTCAGAAGCTTCTTTTCCTATTACTAGAAAAAGTACTGCTTTTATTTCTTCCAAAGTAAATGGAATACAGTTTGATACACTACAATCTTAAATGCAATTTCCATCGAGAAGGGGTAAGTAAGAGATGCAGAAGTGTCATGGTTTAAACGCAGAAGAAAGAAGGCCAAAAGATTTAACAGGCATTGAAAAATATTCAAACTATTTGCTCTGTGGCATTACTGGTTACTGAAAGGTAGAAGGTTAGGGACCAAATCTTATTCCTACCACCTTATTTTTACTAAGTCATCTGCAAATGTCCAAATCTTATGATCCTTCGTATGCTTTCCCATGCAATTCACGTGACTAGGAGCTGTGCAGGCAGGTTGTAGGGATTGTAAGCTGTCATTGAAACTCTTCTTAATGACTGCTGTAACTTGTATAACCAATCCTTTAACCAAAAATCTAACAGAAGAAAGTGTAGGCTGTTTGTGTGGGTGCATGGGCATGTGTGTTCTATTTCCATTTAGAGATGTCTGGTTTGCTCTTGTGTTTGGAGATGTAATGAGTGACTTCTGTTTTGCTAATTGGTGGTCGAACCTATGAATCTCCTAAATATGGACTGACAGGTGGACTCTAGAGTACTGTGGTATTAGAGATGAAAGAAAAGCTGAGTTGATTCCAACACAAGCAATATTTTATGTGAAATAATACCTCAACATAGATCTGTATAATCATGCCTTTAGTACTCTTTTAAAAACCTTAAAAAAGTGGTAATTCTAAAACATACAATGTGTGTTATTTTAATAATCATTCCTACACCCTCAGTACAGCTAAAAGAAAATACCACCTTTCTGTTGCTGCACTCTTACTATGCCAAATGCAGAGCTAGTGATGCCTAAAGGTCTTCTGAACTGCTTGGTACCTCAGCTAGATGTTTAAATGTGTAATTAATCTGGCAATGTTTTTGACTTCAGCACAGCTAAATGTATGTAATTCTGCCTTTCAAGTTATGTTTAAGGTTACCTCTTTATTTGATGGAAAAGAGGTGGGTGTTTAATGCCTTCAAACTTTGTTACTTAGTAATGCAGAAGAATTTCTGGTGGTGCTTTACTTGTTAATGATGTTTAGAAGTAGCGTATATGGCATATGGACATATCTATGTGCAGCTATTTAATAACAGCTCTAAGGAATCTAATTCCTTTTATCTTATTTGTTGTCTTGGACAGGTTTTTATTGAAATAATGTATACATAGTAAATATTTTTCTCTTGTGACAGCTTTTTTTCTGTAAAAAACAAAAAAAAAGGTAATAAAAGCCAAGTTCAGAAGGTATGGATTGTTTGGGACACAAACTGGTTTCTTCTTTCATTTGAGAAGTGTGATAGCCTTTCACAAAACCATGTAGTTCATAATGAATTAACCTCAGAGGCTGCGGTAGTGAAGTGATTTTTATATTCTATTGTATTATTTGTATATGCAATTTTCAGTCAGGTGAAGACTGTACTCAAATACATGTCTTGATGGGGCAGCATCAGTACTCTTGCAGATGTCAAGGTATAGCAGCATGCTCAGGCTGGATCCATATGTCATGCTGGTTTGATGACCTCTTGAGACACACTGGCATGAGGATGAGCAGCAAAATATGAGGTGCTTCACACAGAACTATTGAACTCTGCCTTTCTCCGTCAAGACCCTCCCCACTGCAAGCATGTCACCTGGAAATAAATTGCTATGCAGCATCAAGTGCTTATTCATTTTATTTTATTTTTTTAATCAACTAATGTACCATCTGTCTTGACTTTTTACAGGTTGTTATTACATGTATTGGATCTTTCTATCATTTTACTACCTTGTTGTAATTTACCATGTACTGATATGAAAACCTTGAGATTATTTTAAGTTCTGAAGATGGTAGAAATACCCTATGAAATGCTTCTCCAAAAATCGGTCATATGACACCTAACAAAATGTGTCTTTACGTCTTTAATTCATCATGGTTCTGAGTTTGACTGTTCATCAGTTTGCTTCCTTTTAGTCCAGCCAGGAAATGCACCAATGTTGAAGTATCTAAGTTTATCCATTAATTCTTCCAGCACATGGGCTTTCTGATTGTTTGTCTGAAAGGGAGATGGAGCTTCCTGTCACCATGAAATATGTGTTGATGTTTGGGTGCTCTTCCATGTCTTTATCCAAAACTGAGACCGTGGTTACCAGCTGTGAAATACAGACTATCCTATTATATGTAATAGAATTTTATATTTATATTTGGGTATAAATATAAATAAATATATCCAAATTTATATTTGGATATAAATAGGTGTATATAAAAAATGTGTATTTTATGTCTGTATCTCTGCATGAAATATATATTCTGATTATGATCAGTGATTGAAGGTGTCAGCTAAAATTACTGTTGTTCTGGGGGCTTTCTCCCCTAAACGGTAGCTCTGTAATCTGTTTCCAGGACATAGTTTCCCAGATTTTCCAAGTTTTGCTGTGACCCAGACCAGCACACTTCAATTCCTTTATGCTTTCAGATTGCTTGCATAGCAAATGTGGGAGATGGTTTTTAATAGTAATCAGATGAGGTGCATTTCATTATGAATTAAATTGCACATAGAGAATACACAATCTAGAGTATTACAGGTCTATTCAGTAGGTTAGAACACACCAGCAGTATATATGTTTAATTTCAAGAGTTCTGAGCAGCCTTTACAATGCCTTGGAGTTTCTTCTTGTTTCAAAGATATAACTGTAATGTCTGCTGGTAAGCCGTGACTTCTGACGGTACTATAGTGACTGGTTATAGCAAGACCAAAACCACATTAAAATGGACTTTTTACACTGTTGCAATAAATACTAGCAGATTCTGTAAGATTGTAGAATCATAGAATGGTTGGGACTGAAAGATGAGGATGCCCAAAGCCATTCTTTCCTCTGAAGAAAGCTGAGTAAGGAAGGGCAAGAATGCAGCTGCCTTCTCGAGTGCATCTTGTCGTGCTGTCTGTGAGACCCAGAGCAGGAAGCTGTGGTCTCGCTGGAGTGAGGGCTGGGTGCTGGAAAGAGCACAAACAGTTTCCTTGTTTAATCTAACTTCAACTGAACAATAAGAGACATTGCTGCTGCAGAAGTGATCCACCAGTTTATGCAGTTTTAGAAAGGTACAGTAAAATCAAGCCTTGTTTTTGTATCATCATGCAAACTTATTTCAGAAGCACTAACAGTACTTCACATCTGTTTCTGCATTATTGACACCTGCATAAACGCTGCTGCTTTTTTTTCTCCTCCCAATTGACCCACTTTATGATGATCCAATCTGTAGTCTGAACTGCTGGTTGTATTCTAGTGGCTTGTCACAGCTGCAGGAGGTGCTGAGGAAGGCTGTCAGGCTTGCTGGTAGTTTGGCCTCAGAATAGCAATTCTTAGATTTAGTGGTTGCCATTCACAGTCTTCAGGTTTGCTGGAGAATGATAGAATCACAGAATGGTTTGGGTTGGAAGGGACCTTAAAGCTCATCCAGTTCCAACCCCCTGCCATGGTCACGGACATCTTCCACTCAAGCAGGTTGCTCCAAGCCCCATCCAACCTGGCCTTGAACACTGCCAGGGATGGGGCAGGCACAGCTTCTCTGGGCACCATGTGCCAGTGCCTCACCACCCTCACAGGGAAGAATTTTTTCCTAATATCTAATCTAAATCTCCCCATTCCCTTTGATTTGTCACTACTTGCTCCTATAAAAAGTCCCTCTCCAGATTTCTTATAGCCCCCCTTTAGACACTGGAGCTGCTCTAAGGTATTCCTGGAGCCTTCTGCAGGCTGAACAAGCCCAACTCTCTCAGCCAGCCTGTCCTGTTTCAAGACAAGTTTTGATCAGTACCAACACACAGCACAACCTACCCTCTTCTGCAGTGTGTTGTGTCCTGCAGGCCTTACACAAACTCTCAACAAGCAAACTAATCCTAGAACTGGATGATCTGAGTGGTTTGGATGCTAACCCAAACCATTCTATGATCCTGTGATTCTAAACTGAATTTCTGTTTGGATGGTGGGGCTGGCTCATTCAAGTGAGTTAATGAGCTTCAGAGTACCTCTGTGAGGCAGGGAATTGCATTTTATTTTTATGTAGGGCGCAAAGAGTAAAGATAACACACTCAAAAGCTTGCTACCAAGCTTTGGTGTGGACCATAGATGGATCCTGATGGTTATTTTCCTGCCATTACCAGTAAACCATTCCTTAAAAATTTGTGGGTAAAAATAAAGTCTGGCAGCTTGTAATTGCAATGTGATCTTCCAACAATCCCTTCTCCTTGTGATCCCCCGCGGGAGCAGAGGTGCAGATCTAGCAGCTGGTCGTCACCTTTGACTGTTGCCTGTAATGTTTGACTAAAGCTGATTGAAATGGTTTCTGGCTGTCTTGAACAAAGTTTCACTTCCAGCCGAGGTATGTTCCTAGTGCACTTACACAGCTGGCAACAAACACCCCGCCTGCCTAACAGCATTCCAGGAAAACTAGCAAACCTGTGTCCAAAACAGCAAAAG